CTCTAAGCTTTCCTGCCTTCTCATTATGTGGCCAAAATACTTCATCTTTGCCTCTACTATCCTTCCCTCCAATGAACAGTCGGGCTTTATTTCCTGAAGTATGGACTGGTTGGATCTTCTCGCAGTCCAAGGCACTCTCAGAACTTTCTTATATGGACAACCTGAAAGTACTATTATACAATATTTTAAATAATTTGGTATATGAAACTAAGTTTGTGCACACAGAACCACAAGAATGCAAAAGTGTCATTATCTTTGCCACTCATGTGGACAATTTTGGATTTCCGGATTCCGGAAAAGGGATGTTCAACCTAAAATTTCAATCCATTAGTTCATGTTCTAGTCTCCTTAACAGCTTGCTCTACCTTTTACGTGACATTCTCTCAGGTTTTTATATATGACTATCATTTTTCCTTTCAATCTTCTCTTCTTGACATTGGAAAGTACCAGGAACTGAAGGCAATTCTTACCTGCTTGAAAAGTAGGTACTCTACCACTAAGATATATTTTACTTGGAAAATTTGCTTTGTTGCACCAAAATCTCACAATATCCCCCACCAACATAATCAACAGCTGGGAGATTATAAAACACTTCTACTCTCCCGAGAGGCTCCCCAGTCCACTCCACCCCAGAGTACAATTCCCAAGATAGCAAAAAGTTTAAAGTGTCTATACAACTGTAAGAGAGAATTAGAAATAAAAAGGAAGGCATGTACTCAAGCTATCCAAATCTGTTTGGAAATGGCCATCGTGCTCACTTTCTGGTTTCGTTGTTGTGAATTGGTTTTAAAGCAAGAGACATCTCGACAACGGCCTTCTTACTGCTATGAGGAGACATTCATAGACATTGAATTCTCGCAAGTGTGACTAATGTTTGACATTTTTATTCAAGGATATGATGTTGGGATGAGTAGTTTTCAACAGAATGTAACTAGTTTTAACTATATTGACTCAGAAGGAACAGATAAGCATGTCATCATTGCCTTCTTCACCAAGGTCATTGCATCAGCAAGCCCTAGATTAGATTTCCTCCAAAAAATAGGTTGCTAATGCCTGTTCTAATGTATTTTTAATTGTTTTACAGGGTATATATCTCAATGTTAATTCATGCTATTAGTGTTATGACTTATTGGATTATTTTTGTCCTGTTTCCACTTTCTTGCTTAATTCTTTTGTTATAAGTTTACTGTTATTATTATATATTGTTCTGTGTTTTTGGATGTGTTTGTACTTATTTAGGGCATTTAACGTTTGCCTTCTTTTGTGTGAAAACCACCCTGAGTCCCTTCAAGGAGAGAGGAAAGTCTAGAAATAAAGTTTTATATTATTATTATTTGATACATAACAAGATTAGTACGCAGCAAACAAGATCACTATGCTGCCTTTTGTATTTGGTCACATGTCGGACCCTTCCCAAGTGTCTAGGATTGTGTGATGTATCGGCAAATAATGCGTGCAGATCCAAGTAAGGTGGCCTTTTGCAGCAGACAGATGGAAATTTTGTCAACACTGATTGTGTTTAAGTGCAGGCCAAGATCTTTAGGCACTGCACCCAGTGTGCCGATCACCACTGGGACCATCTTTACTGGCTTGTGCTATAGTTTTTGCAGTTCTGTCTTTAAATCTTCATATCGTTTAAGCTTTTCCAGTTGCTTCTTGTCAATCCTGCCATTGCCCAAGATTGCAATATTGACAATCCATCCTTGGTTTAACACGATCGTGAGGTCAGGAGTATTGTGCTCCAAAACTCTTGCCAGTCTGAATTCGGAAGTCCCAGAGTAGTTTGATGTGTCTTATTATTATTATTATTATTTGAAACACAACAAGATGAGTCCACAACAGACAAGATCACTCTGCTGGCTGTTGTACTCGATCACACGTCGGACACTTCCCAAGTGTCTAGGACTGTGTGATGTATCGGCAAATAATGCGTGCAGATCTCAGTAAGGTGGCCTTCTGCAGCTGGCAGATAGTAATTTTGTCAGCGCCGATTGTGTTTAAGTGCAGGTCAAGGTCTTTAGCACCCAGTGAGCTGATCACCACGGGGACCACTTTGACTGGCTTGTGCAAGAGTCTTTGCAATTCGATCTTTAAATCCTCATATTGTGTCAGCTTTTATTATTGCTGTTGTTGTTATAATTATTATTTTACTGACACAAAAACACAGTATGACACAGCAAACGAGATATATGCTGGATTTCGTATCACAAAATCACAAGTCAAACACTTCCCAAGCGTTTAGGACTGTGTGATTGATTTTCGAATGACTGTGTGATGCATTTTCGAATGACTGTTTGATGTATTTCTGAATAGTGTTGTTGTTGTATTATTCTTATTCTTATTCTTAATGTGAGGCACCCAAGGATTAATCCAGAAGGAAAAACTCTCTAAATATTGGGAAGGAAACTGGTCTATGCAAATCTATGCAAAAATAAAATTCAAATAACAAAGGGCAGGAGGAGGAAGGGGATTGGGGCAACTCCTGTTATCTCATGTGCGATAAAAAATAAGGAAGGAAAAGGTGGGTTGGGACAATACTTTCATTGCTTCATATATGATAAAAATTAGCCTGAGGAACTGTTCACACTTTTGATCAGTGCTGTCTAACCAAGTGATCTACATTGTGGCTGATATGTGAAGGCGAGACCAAAACGCCTCTCTGTGAAATCCAATCCCATGAGAGCACATTTACAAATCAAGTAAACCAGAAACGAACTAGCCTTGTAATTGTGCCATGGTGAAATAACCGAGCAACATTTCCTTGAACCAGAGCTCCACTGTTACAGTTTTGTTCTGAATTTATCTTACCCACTGTTCCTACCGTATTCGTTTGTCTTCTGTGCCTTCCTCTTGCAACACACATAATCTATTCATACTTTATTGTATTACCAGCTATACTAAATTTCTCTTCTAACGACGTGATGTGCTGAAAGCCAGTGGCTTTTGTTCATCATACACAAACACAGGGAACACAATGTTGAGTTGGTTCTGCAGTGTTTAAAAATAATCTTAGAGTGAAAGAAGGGGCGTGCACTTCCTCCACCTTTGGATCTGCAGTGAGGGTGGTGACCATTCAGAGGTTTCTATTAAAATATAGATTGCTAAAGGACCGAGATGCTGGAAGACAAAAAATATCCGGTTCTCATCTCCTCCCCCGAATTATATAATGCAATACTGAATTAAATGCCATATTTACTCGAATCTAATACTCACCTTTTTTGGCTAAATTACCTTCCCAAAATCAGGGTGCACATTAGATTCACGCAGAATGGTAATCTAAGTCTTGAGCCAAAGACAAAGCTACTTCAGGAGCTGTGCTTGGAGCTCCTATTCAATTTAATTGCCATGGCTCAATGCTGTGTCATCCTGGGATTGGTAGTTTGGTAAGGTATCAGCATTCTTTGGCAGCCCCCATGATCCCATTGCATTAAACCCAGGCAGTTAAAGTGGATTCGTTCTACAGCAGAGATGCACCCCAAGGTTTTTCCCCCATCACTGGAAGCTTTGACATTCTAACATTTTTGTTTTTAAAGAAGGGATTCTAAGCAGGCAGCAGCTCTAATGCCAAATGACAAAAAGCGCACTTTTTGTCAATGGGCATGAATTCAGCAGTAAAGAGTTTTGGTTTCAGGGTTTTGAAAATTGAGACGTGCATTAGATTTCATGGTGCATTAGATCCAAGTAAATACGGATAGTTTGATAGAATATTTGAGGCAGATTGATTTATGACACATGGGTTACCTTAGCTGGATGAAAACCTTGTTAATAGGAATAATGTTGAAGCCAAATTTAATAATAAATATGTAACATATGTAATGGTGCTCCATGCAGACTCCCCCCTGGGCACATAGAAAACTGGGCGACTTGGAAGGGGCTGAACAGACTGCGCTCTGGCACCACGAGATGCAGAGCCAACCTTAAGAAATGGGGCTACAAAGTGGAATTCACGACATGCGAGTGTGGAGAAGAGCAAACCACTGACCACCTGCTCCAATGCAACCTGAGCCCTGCTACATGCACAATGGAGGACCTTCTTGCGGTAACACCAGAGGCACTCCAAGTGGCCAGATACTGGTCAAAGGACATTTAATCAACTACCAAGCTTGCAAACTTTGTGTTTTGTCTGTTTGTTTTGTTAAAAATGTAATACAACTGTCTGCTTGCTCCTGACACAATAAATAAATAAATAAATATGCAGTCATGCCATTCGCATGACCTTGGAGGTGTCTATGGACAACGCTGGCTCTTTGGCTTAGAAATGGAGATGAGAACTACACCTCAGAGTCTGACACGACTAGACTTAATGTCAACGGAAAACCTTTACTTTTATCTTTAACATTTATATAACACATTTAGATATTCTAAGAACTTCACTTTTTTCATCCTGTAATCTTTACCATAAGCCCCCTGGAGGTGCAGCAGGTTAAACCGCTGAGCTGCTGAACTTGCTGACCGAAAGGTTGGCAGTTCGAATCCAGGAAGTGGGGTGAGCTCTGGTGTTAACCCCAGCTACTGCTAACCTAGCAGTTCGAAAACATGCAAATATGAGTAGATCAATAGTTACTGCTTCTGCAGGAAGACAATGGCACTCCATGCAATATTGCTGGCCACATTACCTTGGAGGTGTCTATGAACAACGCCAGCTCTTCGGTTTAGAAATGGAGATGAGCACCACCCTCCAGAGTAGACACGACTAGACTCAATGTCAGGGGAAACCTTTACCTTTAATGTTTATCATGCCCTGTGAAGCAATAATATATCGCTCAGTTGATATAGAGTAGGGACTGAAACTGAGACTGCATGGTTTGATCAAGGCCAACTAATGAGTAAAGGTCCAAAAAGGGACATAAATGGGATATCCAAGTTCATGCCCTAAACCAGAAAGCTACTCCCATTCACCAATTTCAGTTTCAGTTTGTGGTCTCCAGAACCTGCAACTTAACACCTTAAAAAAAAAAAAACCTCCACTCACTCTTCATTCACACAAAGCACTGACACCATTTTGGTTTTCCTCTCCAGTATTTATAAATTCGGAGCTGCTGATTGTACATTTCAAACCAAACTGGGCAAGCAGCACTGAAATCTTGCACGGACACCTCCTGCCCCAAGTACAGACAAGTCTCTCTTCAAGTCAGTCTTTCAAGATACGGGGTGACCGCTCCTTGCCATCCAGTCATCATCCCTCTCCAATTCCAGTGAAGACTAATCTCAGAGAAATCTGCATGACTATAAAGGCAGCAAGTGCTTGAGCATCATATTCGGAGTTCCTGTGGATGCTTACCGGGGAGGACAAACCCAGCCAAGCACTAAAATGGGAAAGACCAGGCATGCTTTTCTGTGCCCACAGCAGAGCAGGGAACATGGCTTAAGACAGGGCGCTCAGTTCAGCCCTTGGGTGAATGCTGAGGGCTAGGCACTCAAAATGGCTGGCGATGAAGAGAAGTAGAGCCTTGAAAAGTCCTTGCTTTGTTTGCCTTGGTGATGTGAAGCATATGCTGGTTGTACACTAGAGAGTCCTGAGATTTTTGTTTCTGCTGTTCCTATTAATTCAAGTTGTACTACACCAGAAGACAGATGTAAACTGGAGCTTCCAGCAGTGACAGCAAAACCACCCGCCTTCCTTCTCTGTAGTGTGCGCCATCCAGTTCTGTGTGCATGCTGCCTTCAGGCCAAGGTCTTGGTTAAGTTACAGCTGGGCAGGTGTGGCAACAGGACGGGCAGCTAAAGTCCCCCCAAGTGCTGGACAATAAAGAAATCCTTTACGTGAAGCAGTAGCCCTTTCCAATAGGCTAAACATTCATGCACAGCAAGGGATAAAGGAAATGATGTTTGCAAGGCAAGGGCTTGAGGGCAGCAGGAGGGGGGAAGAGGAGGTGGGTTTATCCATGGGAGGAGAAGATTGGCCGGCTGATGTTGCTGTTGGTTGTCATCGCTGCAAGCTCCCATCTGCAAAGACAACAGAGTAGAATTAGGTACAAGACAGAGCAGCAGCCAAGATTTTCCAGCTGCTAAACATTGTTTGGGGACACCTCAAAAAATAAAAATGCTCAGTTGTAGAAAGCTTTTACACCAACCCCTGCCATCCCCATCTAAACAGAGCCAGGTAGCAAGTGATTGAAGATTCCTACTCAAAACACTCAAAATCCACGGATGATGTTGTTTATTCGTTCAATCACTTCCAATTCTTCGTAACCTCATGGACCAGCCCACGCCAGAGCTCCCTGTCTGCCGTGGCCACCTCAACTACTTAAACCTCAAGCCAGTCACTTCAAGCATACCATCCATCCATCTTGCCCTTGTTCAGTCCCTCTTCCTTTTTCCTTCCATTTTCCCCAGCATCATTGTCTTCTCCAAGCTTTCCTGTCTTCTCATTATGTGGCCAAAGTACTTCATCTTTGCCTCTAATATCTTGGTGGTGCAATGGCTTAAAAGCACTGAGCTGCTGAACTTGCTGACCAAAAAGGTCGCAGGTTCGAATCCGGAGAGTGGCATGAGCTCCCACTGTTAGCCCTGGTTTCTGCTAACCTAGCAGTTTGAAAACATGCAAATGTGAGTAGATCCAGCAGGAAGGTAACAGCAGTCCATGCAGTCTTGCCGGCCACATGATCTTGGAGGTGTCTACGGACAACGCCGGCTTTCAGATTAGAAATGGAGATGAGCACCAACCCCCAGAGTCAGACATGACTGGACAGGGGGAAACCTTTACCTTTACTACCCTTCCCTCCAGTGAGCAGTCAAGTATTATTTCTGTTGGGTGAATGGGCTTAATAACAAAAGATCCTCCTCATAAATGTACAACAGAGTAGCTTATCAGCAGCAGCGTGACCCAGCACCAGTAACTCAAAGTGATAGAAAGAACAAAAGCACAGACCAATCATAGAATCAAAGAGTTGGAAGAGACCTCATGGGCCATCCAGTCCAACCCCCTGCCAAGAAGCAGGAATATTGCATTCAAATCATCCCTGACAGATGGCCATCCAGCCCCTGTTTAAAAGCTTCCAAAGAAGAATCCTCCACCACACTCCGGAGGAGAGAGTTCCACCGCTGAATGGCTCTCACAGTCAGGAAGTTCTTCCTCATGTTCAGATGGAATCTCCTCTCCCGTAGTTTGAAGCCATTGTTCCGCGTCCTAGTCTCCAAGGAAGCAGAAAACAAGCTTGCTCCCTCCTCCCCGTGGCCTCCTCTCACATATTTATACATGACTATCATATCTCCTCTCAGTCTTCTCTTCTTCAGGCTAAACATGCCTAGCTCCTTAAGCCGCTCCTCATAGGGCTTGTTCTCCAATGTTATGTTTTCCATAGGAAAAATAATACAGTTGTAATATATACAATAACAAGGTTTCTATAACACAAATAAACAAATACATAGTAGCTTTACACACAGCAGCCTTTATACTGGAGCTTTACACATGATGCTTCTCTCATATCAGGCCTTCTCATATCAGGCCTTCCTCGTACTGTGAGGCCTACCTCATAGAGAAGTGTCCTCACCTAGACTGAGGAGTTCCTTCACTGAGGCAAACTAACAGTAACAGTCTTTGGCCTACTAATTTTCCTCAGGGTGATGCTAGCCTTGGCCCACTAACTCTAACAGGCTCTGACCTATTGACTCTTTCAGTGCTTGACTAACACTTTTGTAATCAAAAATACCCAGTTAATTTTTAATATTTCTGACAATTTCCTGGAGTATGGACTGGTTTGATCTTCTCACGGTCCAAGGCACTCTCAGAATTTCCTCCAACACCACAGTTCAAAAGCGTCTATCTTCCTTCACTCAGCCTTTCTTATGGTCCAGCTCTTGCATCCAGAGGTTACTACTGGGAATACCATTGCTTTAATTAGGTGGACCTTTGTTGCCAGTGTGATGTCTCTACTCTTCATTATTTTATCGAGATTGGTCATTGCTCTCTTCCCAAGAAGTAAATGTCTTCTGATTTCCTGGCTGCTGTCTGCGTCTCCAGTAATCTTCGCACCTCGAAATACAAAGTCTGTCACTGCCTCCATGTTTTCTCCCCCTATTTGCCAGTTATCAATCAGTCTGGTTGCCATAATCTTGGTTTTTTGATGTTTAGCTGCAAACCAGCTTTTGCACTTTCTTTTTTCACCATGGTTAGAAGGCTCCTCAGCTCCTCCTCACTTTCAGCCATCAAAGTGGTATCATCTGCATATCTTTAATGTTTCATCCAGCAATTTTAACTCCAGACATGGATTCATTAAGCCCCACACAGTGCATGATATGTTCTGCATACAAGCTGAATAGGCAGGGTGAGAGTATACAGCCCTGCCGTACTCCTTTCCCCATCTTGAAGCAGTCTATTGTTCCGTGGTCTGTTCTTACAGTTGTTCCTTGGTTGTTATAGGTTCTTCACGAGACAGACAAGTTGGCTTGGGATCCCCATATCACCAAGAACTTGCCATAGTTTAATATGATCCACACAGTCAAAGGCTTTAGAATAGTCAATATAACAGAAGTAGATGTTTTTCTTAAACTCCCTGCCTTTCTCTATTATCCAGAGGTATTGGCAATTGGGTCTCTCGTTCCTCTGCCTTTTCTGAACCCAGCTTGTACATCTGGCCACTCTCGCTCCATTGCAGGAGTCTACCTTGCAGGATCTTGGCAGGGGCCATGGGGGGGCCTTCAAATACACAATTCAACATACTTTGTGGGAGCCACAAACCTCTATATGGTCTGTTCTTACTGTTGCTACTTGGTCATTATACAGATTTCTCAGGAGACAGACAAGGTGACGTGGGATCTCCATGCCACCAATCAAATAATGGACAAATAATCCGACATTCTTATATAGCCTGGACACTGAATGTCTTTCCACAATGACAAATAGCTTACCTGATATCATGAGGAAGGCAGGACTGGTCCAGGTTGTATTGGATCACTGCCAGTTTACATAGCGTTTTTAAGCTGGGACCTTAGGAAAAAGGAAACATGCAGCATTATAATAATGATGTCCTGCGGAAAAGTCCATGAAAAGCAGCAATAAGGGCAAGCCAGACTAAAGGATAGTTGCAGCACAATAATAGGAAAAGGGGACAGAGGGGCTAAAGCTATCACAATAAGATTTTTTTAAAATCATCAAACACCGACAGGAGGTTAAACCAAGATGAAATATCCGAAGAAGTGCTTACGTACTGAAGTCTAAGATGTACAGGTCTGAGTGATCCATCAGGTCAAATTCATCTCCCATGCCTTCCTCTGGGGATGGGCTGAGGGATTAAAAGAGGACTCCATTAATCACTGCAACCCCATTCTAGTTGAAGCTGATTCCTAGCTAGTTTGGGAGTCTTCCTTAGTGCTTCCCTGGATTCAGTGGAACCTAACTGTTGCAGCTGCTAATACCAATGAACTCTCATTATTCTCTAATTTTGGAGGAAAAAACAACAACAACTACAGGAGTTCTGAATGTGTAATTGCAAATAACATTGGGAGGGGGAAAGATGAAAGGAGAGAAGTACATGAGATATGAACGTGGGCTAGGCATATACATTGATAGAAGCTGACAACATTTCAAAAAGCAGATTTTCTTGCTGTTTGACGCCTAAACATATGTTCATGAACAGCTAAAGCAGGGGTGTGTTCTGAAGACTCCCTTTAATCTCTGTTCTTGCCACCCACCCTCCCACACATGGTCTGTGTTCTCAGCGCCTATTTGGTTTATAGATCATTAAAATGGTAAAGATTGCAAGGATGGTTTAATCCAACCCCATGCCACTGCAGGATCAAAGAGTCCTGCCTCGATGACATCCAAGGCTATTATCAATTCCTTTAACTGTTGGGATTATTTCCTTGCTCCACGCCATGTGTATTCAGCTGGAGGGACCAGACTTGTTATCACAGAACAAAAATGTCTTCAGCCAGCGCTGCTTTTCAGTTCAATGTTGCTAAAAATGTTAGAACTGTGTAACGGCACACTTATTCTAACACTTTGTTTGCACATTAGCAAATAAGATGCCTCTAGAAATCTGTCAAGTAGGACATAAGTTTGTGTTCTCTATTGGTTTTCAGTCATGTTGCTTATGGTTATGATGGTAGAATCAGCATCATCAGCATCATCAGAAACCAAATACAGAAGCACCAACATAAAATGCTCCCAGAGACTTATTTGCTGAACTACTACAAATAATAATAGTAATAATAATGATAATAATAATAATAATAACAAACTTAAAAAATACATCACACAGTCCTAAACGCTTGGGAAGTGTTCGACTTGTGATTTTGTGATACGAAATCCAGCATACATATATCTCGTTTGCTGTGTCATACTGTGTTTTTGTGTCAGTAAAATAAAACTTTATTTATATTTCACCCTATCTCCCTAGAGGAACTCAGGGCAGATTCCAAACATAAAAGGCGAACATTCAATGCTCAAACACAACAACAACACACCCATAATAATGAAAATTGACAACCCAACATAAACAAAACAAATTATGCCTTAACAATTAAAATTAAATTAAAAAACGCAACCTGTTACATCAGATCTAAGACAAAACATCAAACATCGAACAGAAGCTTCAATTTTCCAGTTCCTTGGGGGCAAATAGATTGATCATTGCTCAAGATGCCTGTTGAGCTGGTGGGGCGAACAGGACACGGAAACGGATGGTAGCTATTAATCAGAGGTATAATGGTAGTATTACCATCGACTCCTCCTTCCCCCCATAGGCCAGTGAGCAGAGGTGTCTGCAGGTGTTTCTTGAAAGCGGGGAGGGGGCCATCTTTAACTCCTTAGGAAGAGAATTCCTGAGGTGGGAGGTGGCCACAGAGAAGGCCCTTTCTCTCGTTCCCACCAGCCGCACTTCGGATGGAAGTGGGACCGAGAGCAGGACCTCATCTGATGACCACAGTGTCAGACTTGGTCCACAGTGGGAGATGCAGTTCATCAAATAGTCTGGACCTGAGCTGTTTCCTCTGGACCTGAGGAATTCCATGGAGAATTAAAGTGCTGAATCCTTAGGCCACTAGTGATTATATCTGAGTATTTATAAAGGGGGATGTAGCACTTTAAAAAATTGCACCCTCAGCCTAAGGTATAGCAATACATCTAGGAATGTCTCAAACCTCTGAGGCACATGAACCCGAAAAAATAATCCTTATCCATTACAGGAGTCCCTGCATCATTGAAAAGGATGTCTATTGGTTTTCCATGACCAATCATAATTTAGATTCAGCTTTACGTGATGCAGAAAGCTTTTTGATTAAGGTCACACCTTAGTGCGGTGTCGTGATTTGAATGCTGGACTAGGAGTGTGGGAGACCAGGATACATCCATAGAAACACACTGACTGGGTGACCTTAGGCAAGTCACATTCTTCCCTTCTGAACAAATTCTGTCAAGAAGACCCCATTGACAGGCTCACCTTAGGGTTGCCATTGGAAATGACTTGAAGGCATACAACAATAACAAAACCACTGACAGCCTTTGTTCCTGCCCACTAGACACAATTTTTTTACTGAAGCCTACTCTGCACAAGCCTTGCTACGCTCCCATAATTTAAATTAACTCTGCTGAAAGCCTAACATATTTTTGACCTCTGCACTTTAATTCCTCAAGATGGTAATTTAGTGTTCTAGTCAAAAAGCAAAAGCTTTGCCTGAAGTCATCTTGTTAAATACCATGAATAATTATGGAACAAAATTAATATTTGCAAGCTGGATTTCTAGGTGGACACCAACTAATTCCCAGAATAGACAAGGAGATCCATCAACCACGGTTTAAGAAAGGAGAAACCTGAGCATGTAAGGAAGATGATACTTTGGCACAAGGGCCAGATCTGTTTGTCCAAGCATCTCCCCAGTTGCTTGGGTTTTCTCCGGCCTCCCTTCTTCCTTAGGAAACAAACAAGGTCCCCTGCACTCCTCCCCGCAGCACACAGGGCCGGATGTTCTGGCACCATCTGGAGATTTCATTATCACAAAAGGTCACACAGACCCCTAGCAGGCAGCCAACTTTGGGGCAGGGGGAGAGGAGTGGGGGAATCAGATTGAGGCTTGGTATTAGATGACTCCAAAACATCAATGACATCTGAGTTCTCTAAAGTTCAAAGGGTCCTTTTTTGTTTGGGAAAATGGCTTTTTCAGAAAACAAAACCAAAATATCAAAGCAGAGAGAGGAACTGTGCAAAGCAAATGAAAGCTGAGTATCCCTTATTTTGAAATATTTGAAACCAGGAATACAAATATTTGCAAATATGTATGTACTGAGATATCTTGGAAATGGGACCCACATCTAAACACAAAGGTTTCATAGGCAGCTTATACTTAAGCAAAAGGTGCATGGTCATCTATTGGGGGTGTTTTGAGCAGGTACACTTGAGCAGGTACATGGGGGGTGGGGGTGGAGATGTGATCCGCTGGGGAGGCCCTCCTCTCATTCCCACCATCATCACAAACGTTATTGGTGGGGACGAGTGAGAGGGCCTTCTCAGTGGTGGCCCTTCATCTTTGAAAAACCCACCCCAAGGAGATTAAGCAGGTCCCCACACTGTCCTCTTTCCGTAGGGATCTGAAGACTTGGATATTTAAACAAGCCTTTGAGAATGTCTAGCCCCAATGGTCTGCAATCAATGACACAGCATTGCACTTTCATCCCATGCTCTGTTACTTAGCTACTATTTGCACTATCCCATTCCCTTGTCTTGTTTACAGTTTGACTATGTCTTACGGTAGTTGTCATCATAGGTCAGTGGTTCTCAACCTGGTCATTGGGCGTTGTTCTGAGTTTTAAATTGTTATTTTTATATTCTATATTTTTTACTTTATTGTATTTTATTGTGTGTTTATTTTATGCTTTGAGTTTGGAACTTTGTGCTATATGTAAGCCACCCTGAATCCCTGTGAGGAGATGGAGACAGAATACAAAAATAAAATTGTTGTTGTTGTTGCTATTGTTGTTGCCTTAAGATAATGTTATACACAATGATTTTAAAAATTTTGTGCATGAAACTATGTTTGTGTACAATGAACTTTCAGAAAGCAATGATCTCACCTATCTCTGACATGTGGATAATTTTGGATTTTGAAATTCCAGAAAAGAGATGCTCAAACTGTATTTTAAAAGTAAATAAAAAGAAAACTTGATTCCATAGAAGAAGAAGAAAACAGCCAATCTTTTCTGCCTGTCACTAAAATCTGGATAGACTGGATTGCTTATAATGCCACAACCCCAAGGTTGCTGATAACATAAGCAATCTGACCACAACACTGCTGTAGATGGTTTCCGCTTCATTGCAGCTCCAGAATCCTTATGTGGTGGTCAGTTTGCGCAGTTAAATTGACCTCTGCCCCATCCACTACTACAGTGAATGAAAAAGTGCTGAAAACACAGGAGCTGGTTATCCCTGGTCTACCACTTCTTGATAATCATTCTACTCAACATTGGATCTAATACAGAGCCTTGAGTATGGCAGCAGCGGTCTTTAACAAGACAAATTGTGTACTATTCGTTTCTTCTCTTTAGTTCCTGTGCTTTTGACAGCACTAAAATACAATACTGTACTCTGGTGTACAATCCATTGTACCTTGGCTACTCCAGCAGTCAGGAGATCTGTTAGCTCCTATTTATATACTGCTTAATGGCCACAGTCAAGTAAATCCAATAAAGCTAAGAAGAAGGTTCATATTTTATTTTCTGCAGGACCCTTTGGAATTGGTCTCTGAAGAAATGGGTCCTGCTATTACTCAATCAACAATTATTAATTAAACCGAGGAAGGATGCAAGGCAGATGCAGCAGAGGCTATTAGATGTTATGACCAAAACAGAGTAAATGAATGTATTATGATGTTAACATCAAAGAGAGAAATGAAACAAACACCACGACTGGTTTCAATAATTAGAAAATTGGTGAAAGGGGCAAATGAGAGAAAGGCCAAAGAAAAGGACAGAGAATTGATGTATCGGAGTGGTTAGACAATAACCATTTTTAAATCAGAGGCCTAAAAGAATGTCTATTAAAGAAAATCTGACATCTAGTTTGTTGTAGGATTCATGTGCAAAACTAACATCTCTACACTGATTTTTAGAGTTTGGAAGAGGTACATTTTTGGATTAACACTTGCAGGATACCCCCAGTAGTATGTGGAGTAGCTTTTAGATCAGGCATGGGCAAACTTTCTATCTTGGGGGGCACATGGCAAGCTGGAGTGGGGTGGGTGTGCCCAGAGGAAGGAGGTTCTCCCCAACCCCTCTCCCTGCCCTTTCCCC